GGCAAGCTCCTGATGGTCCTTGTCCGCTTCAAGCCCGACGCCGTGGCCACCATTTGGAAATCGATCCAATCAGTCTTTCAAACTTGTCACTGCCGTTGGCCCTCGTCGCTCTGGTCAAGGTTTTTTTTCATCAAATACTGCGACCGTACCTTGTCTCATATAAGCTGTTGGTCCTCCTCCTTGTTTCCTGTATTGCATGGCGCCTTGCCCAAAAAGAGCACAGGTGAGGAAACCCGCTGATCTTTATGTTCGTGTGTGGAAGCCAACACTTCCAACACTTCTAGCAGAATTCGCGTTGAAGGCTCGCCAGCTCCCTTGAAGATCATCCTCGGGTACCCCAAGTGTCCAACAAACATCAACAAACCTCATCCCCTTAGCCCGGTGTTGGCGCACAAACAGCATGCGGCCAATCGTCAAGTCACCACCAGGCATGTTTTGCTGCATGCTTGACGTAAATAATAGTCACCTCGACCGCTTCCAGCCATGCAGTGTTGGCACAAACGCTGGTATGGGAAGTGTCTCGGCTCGTGGGCCTGTTTACCAGCCTTTGATTGCATTTTTGGTGTTTTTCTGTCCTCTTGCCTCCCCACCTTCATCTGGTTTCATCCGTTGACACTCTTTTCGTGACAACTCAATGCGGAATGCGGATAATGGTGAACCAGTATCTTCCACGCCTCCACCTTGTTCTTGTCTTGCCCCAAGCCGGCTTTCCTCAACTCTCTTAAGAAGGTGGTTTCAAAGAAACCTCGTCATTCAGCGGGGCCTTCTGCCTATTCTTTTCTTGTCTCCTTCTCGAAGTTGAATTTTTTGTAAATGTCTGGCCTCGGGAACGGGGAGTTATCTCCAGGGCTAGCATCAATGGCAACTGATGTCTTGCGACCTGAGGCCGGCTTTGTCGAAACATAATCCTTACCAGTTGGAACCTTTGCATCCGGCGTGTTCGTGCCGTCATCATCGTCAGTTTCGCTGTCAACGAAGCTGGCCACGCCATCAGGAGAAGATTGCAACATGCTGAATTTTTAGCTTCCCAATCCATTGAGTCCACCACGTGTTTCCGCAAGTTCTGCTGCCAAGATCTCAGCTTCGGCTTGCAACACCTCTTCGAGAGTGAAGTGCCCTGCACCCTGGGTGAAGGTTGGCGGTGAAAAGAACGCGCCGACTTCTAGGTGGTGCTTGTTCGCCCTGAACCAAATGGGGATTTGGAAAGTGCAGCGAAAACCGCAAACGAACCCCTTGAAAGGGATGCCTTGGCTGCTGCGAACAAATTCTTCACGACGGGGTTCCTGGCGAAACTATCTGGACTGGAGCGTCGTGACAAAGGGTCACCAACATCGAAAAGTCTGAAAACTTCAACTTCCGTCTCCTCCAGGGGCTCCTTCCCTGCAAACCAACCTCCTCAATCTGCAACTTGACGGCTTCCAACCCTAATTTCTGCGTGAAGAAGCATCCCAACTCGACAACGTCACTCCGTCCATCTTCAATCCCGCGGCTGCCGAAAGGAATCCGTTCAAAACTCTGAGATCCCCTCTTCCAGCCCCCCCCGACGCTCCCAATAGGTGTCGCGTAGACCCCGGCTTGTCCAACGCTGTCTTGCTGTTGGCTGACTCGAGGGCTGTCAGGACTTTCCTTAGTTGAAAAAGGGTTCTCACGACTGATCACAACTTCCTCTGCCGTCTGGGCGAACAAAGCCGTCACAGCCTTGTGGCACTCGAGTGTCTCAGGCATGAATTACTCATCCGCTTGGCGGACTTTGCCGCTGCGCCGAAGAAACCAGATTCTGGCGCAGAAGGAACGCCATCTTTTAAAAATGTCCCTCCCAAGGGGGCACCCACGGACCATGCGCCACTTCCTCCATTATTGTCTTCCTCAGTCATCGCGACGTCGCCCCCCTCATGAAACACAGCCCAACCAAAAGGTCGAATACCTTAGCGTGTGACCTCAGTCTATCTAACTCGAACTCTGCAGTCACCTCCACGGGGAACGTGGCCGAGTGAACCGCTTGGATCGCCTGTCACAGATTCAACCTGGAGGTGGAAGGCGGCGAAACCAAAATGCAAAAAGTCGAAGAGCAGCGAAGCCAGGCAGCGCGGCGGCAGCACAAAAGCGAAGTGCACCTCGATCATAGGTTCCGGTGTCACTATTGAAGCACCGGCGCACGCCGGCAGCAAAGCAAATGGAGCCTTTTCCGGACCAAAACCGAAAGCCCAAATTGGGTCAAGATCTTAGGGGCCCGACGGCAGCGGGAAATTCAAGGATCAAATATGATCAAATGTCATCCCAATCCGATGCACATTTCAACAATTAGAGTGATCACAGCTGTCGCAGCGATCAGGAGTGAAAAGTGGTTACTATGAGAATCCGGGATGGCATCATCAAAGTGAACGTCATACTTGACCACGTCCATTCACGTCCGCTTGCACGTAAGGTCAGGACAGGCCACGTCCGTTCGCACGTTCGTTCGCACGTTCGTATATGTCCGTACATTGCCCGTATATGAGTTGTAACATAGTTTTTATGTACTTCTCGATTAGAATTAACCTTTGCGGTTCAACATAACCCGAAGAGAGCATGGGCCTGCGTCCCTGAAACAAAGCGGGCATGTGTTGCAGTTTTTTCGATCGCGTAGAGCTAAGCACATCTGCATAGTGGTGCAGATCACAAACAATACTGTGCGATCATTGATCTTCTTGTTTTCCCTGCAAGCACCAGCAAAGGAGGCCATGCGCCACTTTTGACTCCCGTTGTGCGAAAGTCCATAGCGGAAGTCCCGGAGCGAAGAGCGCAAACACGCGAAACATGACACAGGCGACACAGGTATTCAATGAACAAACCACAACGACTCAGAATGAGATCCGACGTCTCAAGCGTCGACTGCGCCCACTGCGTCACTGCAGCGACTCGGACGTCGAGGGCCAAAAAGGCTGAAACGCGGAGGGCGGAGGTCGAGGGGTCCCGGGTCTTTCCAGAGCTACGGCCAAAGGGCCGCATGGCATGTGGCATGGCGTGCACGCCACGTGGCGCGCACATGGTTGTGGCTTGTCTTCCAGCCAGCGTGTTTAGGTGTCGGCGGAAAAACGCATGAACGCAATGCTGCCATGCTGGGCACTCCTCGCAGCCCTCAAATACAATTCCTTTGTGTGTGTACAGTGTAAATGCAACAGCTCCCGACCGAAGGATGCGCTGTCGTAGCAACAGCGACACATGAGGAAGAGGTCAGGGACGGAGACTAAAGCAAGTAAGCCAGTACTAGAATGGGCACTTCTTGGTTCTGCTGAAGCATCGAAATGTGCAGGGATACATCAACATGTAATTATACGTATATGTATACACATACAACATGTATATGTATAAGTAGGTAGGTAGGAAGCAGTATTGGTACAAATTGTCGAGAGCTCGGGTGCGGGTTACTAAAGTCAAAGGTCATGAGAGCGTCCCAATCGATCAATCAACATGATCGTGATAAGCTTGGCTCCAACCACAAAACGGTGAAGGCAAAAACGCATTGGGGACAGGGCTGGATGAGACTTGGGGAGGGAGCGGAGCAACAGGCTTTCAACTGACCAAGTGGGAGCAGCTAGGACAGGTCCAACGTAACAAGTGCACAAAGGAACCGCAATTGCAAACGCCGGAAATCCAAGAGAGGAGGGACTATGAAGGTAGCACGTTCAGTGATCTCCTGAACCGATGTCCGGAGTCTTCGTTCCGCGTTTTGACGGTGTGTCCACGCGGAGTTGCGGAGTTGCTTCGTGAGGGTCCCGCAGACGTCTCACTCCGAAAAAGCACGCATTGATCGCAAGTGTTGCTTTCAAGCACACGCAATTCAACAAAAGCAACAAGTTCAGGTCTTGTATTGTCTTGTTCACTTGAGGAAGAAACGGTTTCGTTCGCCTGGGTTCGCAACTGCCGAGTTGACACTGCGCAAAATAGGCCCGCAAAGTCGTAAGCGTTCGAAGTCCTCCCCTTGCGTTAGTCCGGTGGAGTGCCTACGACTCGGCCGAAGCGTGGGTGTTTCGCTGCCACGGTGTTCTGCCACGGTGCTGATCGCATTGATGCGATAACCGCTTTCTGTGGACCAATCCTTTTGGGCAAGTGCTGCACCCGATTCCTGCAAGCTGAATGGTTTGCAGAATAGACCTTTGGCCGCATCATTCGGATGGGCATTCGGGGAGTGAGATGAGAATTTGGACTCTCTGCACCCTGTCACAGGCTTCACATAGTCTGGTCATGACTGGATGAAAAGCTCGCGCAAAGCTGAGAGGTCAGCTCAAACCAGCCCCTGCGTGGAACCACTCCAAACACACAGCCCATCATTAACATGCCACCCAATTCACCGGCCCAATTTTTGCAAGCAGTTTCGCTGACACGCAGAGCTTTTGAACAAGGTGTGCTTGGGTCGCTTGGGTCAAAGCACAAACCCATCAATTCCGCGTTTCACAAATGACCAGCATCCTCTCAGCCTTCATAAGGACTAGGTGATGCGATGGTGCTCTGACTTCTTGATGGTGCGATGGTGAAGCTGTGAAGGTTCGTCCCAGCCGTGACACAAGAAGTCAGAGCTTTTTGGCGCCAACGGGCTTGTCGGGGTGTGAAAGAAAAGATCGTGAGAGTGCCAATCAAAAATGTCGATGGAAATCAACAAAATGTCCACCAAAAACTCAAACACTTGCAGGCGGCCATCTTTGATCTATATATATATAGGAACATTCAACGCAGCACAGTGACTCCTTTTTCGACGTTTTCCCTCGCTGGCAACTTGGCTGTGCACTCTTCAGTGAGATTTATTCAACCAATGTGCGGATTCTTTGGCACCTAGTTGTGGTTTTACAGGATTTTCTTGGTCCAAACAGGACATGGTGCTGGGCAAGGAAAGCAATCGCGAAATTGACAAAGAAAAGACAACAACAAAGGGTTACTTCGGGTATATAAGTTTATATAAATGTATCTTTCAGTTGAGGCTTTGGATGAAGTTCGCTTCACTTTGCTTGCTCAGCACCAAGGTCTCACGAGGCCACCACTGCAATCCTTAACTCTGTTCGATCTACTCATCGTATGACCGGTACACATCGATCAGCTCGTCTTCACTGAGTGCCAAGCTGGCCCATGGGAAGTGTTTCATAGCACATTCTGGCAAGGCATTCACATCATGTTCATGCATGTTCAGCTGCCACCGATCCATCTCTGCTGCCCCATATAGACACAGTACTTAACATGCTTTGGCAAAACGTGGGGTCAAAAACACACTAACTACGGTAGATGAACATTTTGGGGAAGACGATTCTGTTCATGTTAAGTATGTTCAGGACTCAACTCCGCCAGCTTCCTCCAAACACAGCAAGCGTGGCCCTCCAATCTGCACAACAGCTTCTGCACCCGCCAGCCCAACCAGTTTGCCTGGACCGCAAGTTGATCATGGATGCACAAGGATGAATCCAAAACAGTCAACAGGTATACTCAAAAACCAGAAACGCCCCAAGCAGTGGACGTTTTTCAGCCTTTTTGCGCTTGCCCAAGGATTGTGTCCCTAGTTCCAACCAACCTAAATATCCCAGAACTGCAAAGGCAGAGGGGCATTGACCTGAGTGCCCGCCTGTACAGCCAATCCTGTCACCACTCACCACCTGGCGCAGTGCAACAGCGCATAGACGGACCGATCATCGACCCATTTCATGGAAGTGGAAAAATTGCCCTTTGGGATTCGCCTGTAGGTAGTTTGCCATGTTCCACTTCCCATGATGATTTCAGGGACTGTCATTGGGTTGGGTGTTCATAACATTGACACATTCAACTGGAGAATCACCAACTGCTGCACCTTGACGCACAAGCCGATTTCAGGTGCGACGGGAACAAGCGCCTCAACTGGAAGAGTCGGTGCTTCAGGTCTTTCAAAAGCTCCAAAGAATGGGTGGAAGGCCAAACTTTTTGAGACTCAACTGGAGATCCAGCAGAAAGGGGAAGCTCTTCTTCCACAAGGGTCGTCCCCTTGTCTCCTGACAGCCAGCATCGCGTCTTCATGTCTGAAAATCGCAGTTGTAGAAACATGCACCATCACTCGCAGCCTGCACGTTCAAGCTGCACCCGGCAGGTGTCACCTCTCAACGATCGGAACACCCGGCAGGTATTCCTCATCCTTTGTTGGGAAGTGTTGACAGAATAAAACAGCAACTTGCAGTTGCTACAGCAGGACTGTATTGAATTGGCAACTTGGTAACTCAGCAAGCTCAATGAGTGTGGGACAAATGATAAACAAGGAACCCATCAACATGACCTGGTCACCTTGTCCTCATCACTGGAAATATGTCCATGTCACTCCCTGCCTGGCCCTGCCCACCCTGTCCATGTCTGCACGTTTCTTCCTGCCTTTGACTTCCAGAATCGCTCCGGGGAGTTCCTCTCCACGGACCCGCACGGCAGCACCTTCCGTCAGCCACGGAGGCACCTCAGAGCAGTCCACGTTCGGGACCAGCAGTGCAAAGCGAGTCCACCAGGTCGAGGAAATCGTTTCACGACCAAGGCACCAATTTCAGCTTTTTCGCAGGTGGTCCACTTTGCTCAGGCAGCTCCACAGCCTTCATACAGCAAATGTCACCCATGAAGACTGAGCAAAACCAGCAAGGGCCGTCAACGAGAGATGGCCTTCTTGGCTACGAAGCCGGAAAAGTTCAAGAAGACGTCCACCCCAGCAGCTTTCGCCTCAAAATCATGATTCAAGAATAGAAGGCTTGAAGGCTCCGAAAAAAGTGGTCAGAAATAAATGGTTCTGCTCCCAGAAGATTGGCATCCAGTCAGCACCACAATCTATTGTCCTTGCTTCACCCTGCTCTGCAAAAAGCTTCCAGCCTGCTGCGCAGCAGCAGCTGCATTGCCATTTGGTGCCTTTATCTGCAGAGGGTCTTCTTCTGCATCCGGCAAAGCGGCAGCAGCTGCAGCAACCTATGGCAATGTACTGGCGCCAAAGAGTCTCTTCAAAGCAAAGAGAAGAGTGATGCGGGATGCTTTGGGTGTGTCGGACAGTCGGTATCTGCGAATCATCTCATCTGCCTCCGCCAATCCTTCTCGCATCAGCTCCTCCTCCTCGTCCAGTTCCCCATCCCTTGGCTCCTTCGCCGCAACAGCAAAGTGAGGAACTCCTTCTAAAAGGGGAGAGAACTGATTGAGACTCGACTCAGCCTCTGTGGGGGCATCTTCCAAAACGATGCCGTTCACCACATGTCCTGCCGAGCTTTGCGGCTGAAATCCGGATGAGCTGCGGATCGTCGTGAAGTTACTGGCCGAGTCACGAAGAAATACATGGTCCGGCATAAAGAAAAGCTCAGGTATAACTTGCCTGGCGATCGAATCGCGAGTCCAGGAATGCTCGAGATTTCCGCGAGTCAAAGCAACCAGCCAAGGCTTCGCAGCTGCATGGATGGCACCCTCATCTGCCTGGAAAAGAACTTCTTGCTACACCCTGAAGTGAGCTGAAGCAAGTAAATGCAAACAGGAGTGAGATGGATCATGAGAGCTCTGTAAATGTTGGTCACCAATTCAGCTGCCGTCATCACGTGATTCCTCACACACCAAGTCGCACAGCTTCTCTTTTTGCTGCTGGCGCCATCGATTGCGTTTGAGAAGCACTCTCAGGAAATCGATTGCCAGCGCCTCGATGGTGCAAATGAGCGCAAACATCTCATCCCAAGGCTCCGGATCCCTGATTCTGGGGTTCCGGCTCCAGCGGTCGAGCTTGGGACATAAACTCTTGCCAGTCGAAGTCTCTGGCAGAGTGGTTGAAGCCTCAGAATCCGGTTGAAGTCTGAAGATCATGCTAAGCCGCTATGGCTTTGCAGAACTAGCCGTTCTCAGAAACTGACGCTTTACCCAAGAAAAAAGCGCAGGATCACAATAAGCCTCTACACTGCTGCACAGTTTGGCAAGCCTTGTAAAGCATCGGTGTTTCACAAGCCATGCCTCTCGCATGTAGCGCACCAGTTTGGCCGCTTCCTCCTATGTGTTGCTGCTACGTGTGACGACATGGAGACATAGATTGGCCAAACGCACCAGCCAATGTCCTTTGAGAGTAAGTTGGATTTGATCTCACCACGCAGGAGAACTAGCTGGTGGGTCCTCCGCATATCAGGACACAGCTGTACCAGATTGAGTCGACGAGAGACTGGGAGCTTGGCCCCAGCAGCTCGGTAAAGAAGGTCACGCCGAGATCGATGACCGGCGAGTTCTGCCTCTGTGAAGCAGGTCACGCGGATCACCGTCAGGCGTTTCCCCTCTCTTGGAGATGAGGATTTTGTGTCAGGCCGAAATCAAGTCCACCAGTGTCTGGGAAAAAAGCGAAATCATGCCGAGTGGCTGAAAGCCTTCCAAGGTCTTGAAGAGGATACGATCCCCTTGCACCTTGGAACACCACTTGCTAAGCATCGGAAACGAGTAGCACAAGCAGCTTAAGGCTTTACATACATGCCCCGATCTTCCCCGATCCCAAAACAATGATGTTGGGTTCACAAAACAGCAGACCAGCCTGCCAGACCAGATTCGCATAGCCCTCTCCACGAGGTAATGGTACCACAAACATCGGGCATGCCTGCCGTGGCAAACAGCGGCACCTTTCCTTCATCAGCCCAAAGTCCATTTTCTCATTACGTCCAGCCTCGGCATTTGCTTGCAACCTTGGCAAGAGAAACAAAATATAGGTGGCTGGTTTGGCAAATCATTCACAGCATCTGGCCTTACAAACCCTCCCTCCAAACCAAGTTCCGAACGATCTGAAGTCTTTGTCTGTTATAGCCTCAGTTGTCTGTTCACCGTCTTCTCATAATCATGGCGCCAAGTTTTAATTCGCTTGACCAAGTACCCGACCCCTGCGACAGCCACAGGATTGTCCTGAAACCTGCAATTGCAACGGGATCCGATGGCTGCATCAGTTCTAGAATCCGGCCTTTCAAGCCAGATCTCGCGCACCCTCACCGGTGACTCTTTCATCAACAGGGGCACCTGGATGCAAATCGTCGAATCCGAACGCCCTATCCAAAAAGAACAAGAACGGCGAACCTTTGCGATCTCACTGAGCTTTGCAGCACCTCCTGGTACCTTGGCCATCAGGTCTGAGGCTGAGAAGAGCTTACCAGTCTGGGCTCCTCTGGGCTCCTCTGGGCTCCTCTGGGCTCCAGACTCCAGGTGCGAGGGCTTCGCCAGGAAGGCTGCCTCACAGGTTTGGTTCGTTGTGCCAGCATCTCACCGATAAATGTCCTGGACGTAGGCTCTGCTTACTGCACCAGAAGAGCGCATGGTGAAAGAACCATAAAGACCCTTGTTAGCTGGCCAAACAAGTGAACACTACACAGCAGTGGGATTTACATCGCTTTCCACTTCCATGGGTCAACCACATTTCTCTGAATGTCACCTGCAAAGCACCTCACCGAGCCTCACCCGATTGCCCCTTCCCACACCTGTGGTGTGGAGCCGAAGCCAAGCTCGCCTAGAGAATCAGCGAATTCAGTGTTTCACCGAGGTGTTTGACATCCAAGTCATCCTTGTGAATGCCTAACTGCACACATTTTCAAAATACAAACTTGTGCCAAACATCTCACATTTGGGTGAGCCACCACTTTGGGAAAGGCATCCATACCAGCTGCTGGGGTACTTAGAGAAGGACCGGCCTTTTTTAAAACACCTGGTCCTTAAATGTGATCTCCAGCGCACATACATACACACACCGGTTCCCCAGTGCCCTCCTCCATCCAGGCGGGCTGCAACGCCAAGCCCGAAGGGTCAGTGCACACATTGCTCGGTTCATGTGTGCCATTAACTTTGCTACGTCTAATCTGTTCGTCCACTTTAGGCAGTCCTTGTTGGCTCTGATATTGTCGCAGACCAAACATGTTCATCACGTACTTTAAAGTTCAAAGTTCAAAGTCTATATAAAACCAAAGGCACTGAATGGGCTAAGACGATGCAATCATGCAATGCTGACTGGAATAGCTTGTTCAGGAACCCTGTAGGCACAAAGGGCTTGATGATGTTGGCCCTGGTACGGCGAGGTGTTCAAAGAATTCAGGCTAAAGCAGTCTCCAAGGGCACGAAGGGCGAGATTTGTCAGCGAGACACCTTGAGGCACCCTCCTTCATCTGACACTGTGGCATGAATGTTTAACATTAAACTAGGCTCCACCCCTCTTTTTCTTCCAAAGATTCGCACACCATTTCCTGTACCAACTGGCCTTCTCAGCAAAGCCTGCCTCGTCCAATGCAGCCTGGCGCTTGGTCGACGAGTCGACGGACAATCATCACGGCTGATACATTGCAAGATTCAGTCTCTTAGCAGCTCCAATACCCTTTGTCTTCACCAATACACACACGACTTAGGTACCTTGAGCTCTTCCAAACTCGCAGAGCCTCTTGCAAGGATGGCCTGCAACGTCATGAACAAAGCATATTGAACAAAGCATTCATGATGGAACTCCTGCCTTAAGAATCGCTTGTTGCAATTCCGGGTCAACCTCAATGGTAGCATCAGCAGAAGAATCGGAAGCAACCACGCTTTGCCCGTGAGCCTGAACGTCCTCTGCGACGGCCATGCTCTGCCGCCTTCTAAAGATGCGCCGAGGTTCCCAAAACAATACCTCCAACAAGGTTGGAAAAGCCAAGGAGCGCATTGATTGCACAAGGAGCAAGAGCGTCAGAGGCAAAAGTCTTCAAAAAAACTGTACCTCAAGTTGAAGTAAACTGGTGAACTCCAGAAGCAAGCTTCACAAGTGAACGCCTTCGTCAGATCATATTTGGAGCCCACTTCGAAAACCCGCTCCAGTGTGGCCTCGAAAGAAAGAGAAAACGATGCCCAATTGCCCAGGGGCCGAAGTGCTACATAGCAATACTTTGCGAGCTCGCTTGGCTGGGCAAGATTGCGGGGCCATGGCACCAGCCTGCTCCCCTGCCGGGTTGAGGATCCACCGTGCAACCTGTGCATCCAGTCGCCCACCCTGGCTCATCACCTGGAGCTGAACTACGGCTCTGATGAGCAGAAGTGCACCCAGCCACTAAACCCTTGAACCATCGGATGCCAACTGAATTGTTGGACCACTAAAAGAACTCAATTGGAGCTCCGTGGTGTGTGAAACACTGTGGGAAGCAATCCGAAGCAACTTGGCATCCCCGGCCACGCCCAGAAGCTGCCGCTTGGCGTTGAACCAGTCAATGTCTCCTGCACCTGTCCAAAAGGAAACATTCTAAGCGTTCTCTTGTAGCAAAGACGCTACAAGCAGTTCCCGGGCAAGCCGGCGGCGGAAGTTTCTTATAAGAACAAATTGACCTATAGGAGTGTTCCGGCTCTAGATACTCCGCGCACTAAAGTTGTACTACAAGGTCGCCAGTTCTCAGTTTCCAGCTTGACAGATTGCTGCGCGTACTAAAGTTGTACTAGAAAGTCGCCAGTTCTCCTTTGAAGAACCTTACAGTGCAGCCCGCAACCCGAGAGAGATATGACCGCGCTTTGGAACGCTTTCGCCAATTCCTGAAGGAAGAAAACAGACAGTTTCCTCATGATCCAGGCCCAGTTGACCACTGGCTCAGTCAGTACATAGAGGTCCTGTGGGAGAGTGGAGAAGGCAGGGCCTTAGCAGCTGACACCATTGCCTCCGTGCAGGATTACCTCCCGTCAGTCAAGGGCCGCTTAGCGGCATCGTGGAGATTGATGAAGACGTGGGCGACCAATGAATTCCCAAACAAGGCGCCGCCGCTTCCCATGGAAGCTTTGGAGATGATGGTTGGTCAAAGCCTTTTTCAACAAGATGACCTCTTCGCCCTTTCTTTGCTGCTAGCCTTTCATGGACTCCTACGGACAGGGGAGTTACTTGGAGCGCACAAGGCCCATTGTCAATAAACAGGACCTCGCAGTGTCGCAGTCCTCTCTCCCTTGGGATGACTAAGGGAGGAAACAGACAAGGAGCAGCCGAGAGCATCACCATTAGGGAAGAAGATATCTTGCGCAGACTGTGGCAATGGAAGAGCACACCCCATTCGAGAAGCATGCTATGCGAAGCACCACACACCTGGCGCAGGAAGTTTGCTCGTCTTCCAGCTCCCCAGATACTCCGCGTACTAAAGTTGTACTACGAAGTCGCCAGTTCTCACAGATTGCTCCGCGTACTAAAGTTGTACTACAAAGTCGCCAGTTCTCATCTTCCAGCTCCGCAGATACTCCGCGTACAAAACGTGCGCTACAAAGTCAGCGTCCAGCTCCACAGACGCTGTGCCTGCCACGAAATCTGCACATGGAGGTTCACAAAGTGCTGCGCCTGCTATGAAATCTGCACGTGGAGGTTCACAAAGCGCTGTGCCTGCCACGAACTCTGCACATGGAGGTCACAAAGTGTTGCGCCTGCCACGAAACCTGCACATGGAGGTTCACAAAGCGCTGCGCCTGCCACCAAATCTATACATCGAGGTTCACAAAGTGCTGTGCCTGCCACAAAATCTGCACATGGAGGTTCACAAAATACTGCGCCTGCCACGAAATCTGCACCTCGAAGTTCACCCAGCGCTGCGCCTGCCGCGAAATTGAAGTTCACAAAGTGCTGCACCTGCCACCAAATCTGCACATGGAGGTTCACAAAGCGCTGCGCCTACCACAAAATCTGCACTTCAAGAAACAAGTGAAAACTCTAACCACAATGGAGGGACGATTCTCACCATGACCCGACCATGACCCGAGACCGTCTCGCACACGTCGTTCCACAGAGCTTGACTTGCCAGGTTCGGGGCCACATTGAAAAACAACGCATTTCGCGCGTCCGCTATCTCTCGAAAACGCATTTTGTATTGCGCCTGCCACGAAATCTGCACATGGAGGTTCACAAAGCACTGTTCCTGCCACCAAATCTACACATGGAGGTTCACAAAGCGCTGTGCCTGCCACGAAATCTGCACATGGAGGTTCACAAAGTGCTGCGCCTGCCACGAAATCTGCACCTCGAAGTTCACAAAGCGCTGCGCCGCCACGAAATCTGCACCTCGAAGTTCACAAAGCGCTGCGCCTGCCACCAAATCTGCACATGGAGGTTCACAAAGAGCTGTGCCTGCCACGAAATCTGCACTTCAAGAGACAAGTGAAAACTCTAACCACAATGGAGGGACGACTCCGACCATGATCCGACCATGATCCGACCATGACCCGACCATGACCCGAGGCCGTCCTGCACACGTCGTTCCACAGAGCTTGACTTGCCAGGTTCGGAGCCACCCTTTGTATTGAAAATCAAAGAATTTCGTGCGTCCGCTATCTCTCGAAAATGCATTTTGTATTGCGCCTGCCACAAAATCTGCACATGGAGGTTCACAAAGTGCTGCGCCTGCCACGAAATCTGCACTTCCAGAAACAAGTGAAAATTCTAACCACAATGGAGGGACGATTCGAGCATAATCCGAGCATGCCAGCTTCGGAGCCACATTGAGAAACACAGCATTTCGTGCGTCCGCTATCTCTCGAAAACGCATTTTGTATTGCGGCTGCTCTTGAAACTAGAGCTAACTGGAGCTAGATCTGTTGAAACTAGGGCTAACTGGAGGTAGAGGTATTGAAGCTAGAGCTACCTGGAGCTAGAGCGAGCTAACTCGAGCTAGAGCTATTGAAACTAGAGCTAAACTAGACCTAACTGGATGATGAGTAGTGCATGATGAGTGGTGTATGATGAGTGGTGTATGATGAGTGGTGTATGATAAGTGGTGTATGATGAGTGGTGTATGATGAGTGGTGTATGATGAGTGATGTAGGATGAGTGGTGTATGATAAGTGGTGTATGAACAGTGGTGTATGATGAGTGATGTATGATGAGCGGTGTATGATAAGTGGTGTATGATAAGTGGTGTATGAACAGTGGTGTATGATGAGTGGTGTATGAACAGTTCTTGAATGTCCGTAACACGGAAGTTTTGCACACTAAACTTCCTTTGATTAGGTGGAGGCCATCGCGAGTAGGTTAGAGGCCATCCCTACTAGTAACAAGAAGCTACTAGTAGCAAAGAGCACCAAACCAACCTCACGGTCTCCTACAACATGAGGCCAGGGGGAGGATGTCGAAAGCTAGCCGAATCGCACCGGATGCACTAGTGCCGGAACGAGGGGTAAGCATCACAAGGACTGTGCATACACTAGGGCGTCCGTAGTGTAGGATAAGCACTGGTAAAAGGTATCAAGAATAGAGAGTCTTGAGGAAATAGCCGGTGTATGGTTATAGCAAGCCTGGGGGGTAAATTTACCACCCGCTTATGCATGCATAGGTTAGAAATAGGGGTAAACAACTTGTAACGGTGAAGTACAAGTCCTACGCAGCAAGCAGCAGCCAGCAGCAGCAGCAGCAGCAGCAGCAGCAGCAGCAGCCGCCTGCAGCCAGCAGCCAGAAGCAACCGCCAACCAGCAGCCAGCCAGCAGCACCACGCAGCAGCAGCGCAGCATCAAGCCGCAGCAGCAGCAGCACCACCGGCAGCAAGCAGCAAGCAGCAGCAGCAAGCAGCAAGCAGCAAGCAGCAAGCAGCAAGCAGCAAGCAGCAGCAGCAGCAGCAGCGGCGGCGTCAGCAACAGCAGCAGCAGCACCAAGCCGCAACAAGTAGCAAAGCAGCAGCTACAAAAGCGGCAACCAGCGGCAGCAGCAAACAGCAGCAGCAAGCAGCAGAGCGGCAGCAGCAGCACCGTTTACACCAAGCCACCGTTTACACCCAACCAACCACGTTCACACGTTCAACCAACCCCCAACACGGCGCGCAGCTGGGAGTCGAACCTTGGGGGGGTGGTGGTTAGCGTGATATATCACGCTAAGGTGATATATCAAGCTTTAAGGCACACAGCTCATCCCACTACCAATTGCTAAAGCAAACAAGAACTCAGCTAGCATGCTAGCTTTCGTGAAAAGAGTCAGCCTTTCAAGTCATCGCAAGCCCGTGTCCAGTGTTGCACGGTGTCCTTGTTGGAGTTTGGTCCTTTCAGGCTAGTTTCGGAGACAAGGACAGAACGATTAAAATCCAGTGGAGAGGTCTCTCTCAATCTTCATCATTCCTTGAAGCGCTGAAATCATTCACCCGCAGTTGCAGTCCTATTCGGCCGTCTTTGTTGACTGGCCAGTCAACCACCTGGTATGCATGATGCAGTTAGTGTCTTCCATGGTGTTCCTACCGGCATACCGAACAAGACTCAGCACTAATCAGCACTTTATACGCCTGCTCCTGTGCAACACTCTCTGAGTATCAAGCTCCTTCCAGAACTTGCTTGAGGTAGAGCTTGGTGGAGTCATAGAAGATCTGGCATTTTTGAAAGGAATGGTCATGGAACCATGGCAATGTGGTTGACGCCTCATGCAGCCCACTCAGCACTATTTGAAGCGCACCGTACCTTCAATGGCACAAAAGGCGTCTCAAATCGCAACAACCACGAGGAAGCCAATCAAATCGTCCAAATGTTCATCCTTTTTGATCTTACTCGCTGGACCTTCCTGCTTTGAGATTACCAAATGCAGCTCATGGCACGTCCGTCTGAGCTCAGACTTTGCATTCCAACCTCAGCGCACTTCGCAATGGTTGGCATTGTTAAATCGTCACAGGGTCCGCTGGGTTCGCTGGATCAGGTGGGGATTACAGCCCGAGGGGTCGCAAGGCCACGAGGTCAAGAGAAAACCCGAGGTCAAGGCCAAGAAAGCCAGCAAGCTTGTCATACTTGGCCTTCGAGCCCATCTGTTTGACCTAGATGTTGTGATCCGATCAAACAAGTCTCCACCAGCAAACGCTCTGAGATGCTCTGAGAACCCCACATGTGAGACCAAGTTTCGTCTCACCTTGATGCTCTAATCTCAAGGGTCTTGGATGGATTGATTGTATACGTATCGTTTCAAAAAACATGTCAACAACAGCTCAGCAAGCTGCTGTGTCATGCAGATAATTGCTCGGCAAAGGCTTGGGATGGAGCGAAGCCCCAGCCTTCAGAATCCACTCACAGTAGCTCTGCCGTCCGGTTCAAAAAGTCTGAGGGTGAGAAAAGAACAAAGAAGAAGGACAGGGTGCTGGGAGGTCAATAAATGACCGAAGGCTAAATAACCTTAGCCCCATGCTGGCGTTCTTAGCAGAATCTCACATTCGGCCTCTGGATGTGACCTTGACAAGAAACTTCGGACCGGGCACTGCATAACCTGCTTCTTTTCGGATTCCCCAGGGACATCGATACTAGGAGCAAGGACGCTACTAGGGGCTCCTGGCCTTTCTACTAGGGGCTCCTGGCACCGCTACCAGGAGCAAGGACGCCGCCTAGGGCTCCTTGCTACTAGGAACATCGCTACTGGGAGCAAGGACGCCTTCTAGGGGCTCCTGGCCTTACTGCTAGGAACAAGAAGCTACTAGGGGCTCCTGGCATCGCTACTAGGAGCAAGGACATCACCTACAAACTCCTGGCCTTACTACTAGGAACAAGAAGCTACTAGGGGCTCCTGGCATCGCAACTAGGAGCAAGGACATCACCTAGGGGCTCCTGGCCTTACTACTAGGAACAAGAAGCTACTAGGGGCTCCTGGCATCGCAACTAGGAGCAAGGACGCCACCTAGGGGCTCCTGGCCTTACTACTAGGAACAAGAAGCTGCTAGGGGCTCCTGGCATCGCTACTAGGAGCAAGGACGCATCTCACATTCTTGGCTCCCTGGGATTCCTGCCAAAAGACATCCTGCCTTGCACACGGACGTCTGCGAATTCTCGCCATGAAAGGCAGATCGGCAGTTGGAAAAGCTGGGCTGTTTGCGAGAGTGCTTGGATGACAGCTCTCACCCTGAAGCCCATGGCCTGCCACCAGTGTTGACAAATTCGCACAAAGGAAATCAAATGCACATATACGCTTTTGTCTGATCCCATGCTGGGCTCAAGCAAACGTCAGCCTTTATCAAAGGCAAAACAGCCTCTCGCTGAAGAGTTCCTCCAGCCTTAAACAAAAACATTCTTTATCTGTTACTGCCTTGATTCCTGCAAGCAGAAACTGAAACAGTGGACAAGCCTGCTGCAGCCAGGACATTATAGTAGCCAGAAGGTCAGCAAAAGGATCCACAGACTGGCGAAGATTGCATGCTCCAGTGCAACTTCCAACAAATTTTCACAACTTTCAATTGCAAAGCATGTCTGTCTGACATAAGGAAGGGATGCCGGCTGATCCTCAGCCTTAGCAATTTCAGCAGCTTGAAACTCTAGGACCTGTGAATCTTGTACAGCTGAGTTTTGTACTGAATCCTGCACTGCTTCCTCTCAGACGGCATTGATCCCTCTGTTTTCAAATGCACACGAAGTGACCAAACCAGCAATGGCTCCTCCTTGGCAGACTCCTTCTGCAGTAGCTGTTGGACTATCTCGGCATTCGCCGCCTACAACGATGCATTCAACATCTAATAGCGATGGCCTCCACCCTACTAACGATGGCCTCCAACCTAATAGCAATGCCTCCTTCGATGAAGGCAAGTTGGGAGTCAATGCAGAAAAGTCACCTCATCTTCGATGGTGATCACAGGAGTTTCCTGTGACGCCAGCACAAGAGCTCGCAAACAAAAAACAAATGACTCAAACAAAGTCCCACCAAGTCCAGTGTTCGCCAATGCATGGAGGTTCGTCTCTATCCTTGACGATCTGCACAGATTCAAGTGCCCTTTGCTCTCCTCTGCAACTTGACCATCGGCTGGATCCGTGGTGGCACTGCCAAGCGGAGATGTTTGTGTTATGCCAACTTCCATGTTCGACATGAGACAACAGTGATCATTGGAGCTTCGCATGTTGGTAGCACATGTTGCTCACATGTTAGTGGCACCAATAACCTCCAGGTGCCTCTTTGGTACCTGGAACTCACCCAGCTCATCTGAAGGCCTTATTCAAGTAAAACAACCATGGTGTGCACAAGCACGGAAACATGATCGTGTAAACAAAGAGCATGTTTGCATGGTTTTGTGGTAATGTTTGATTCATTCGTATTTAGCAGGATGTCCTTGAGTATTATATAAACGCTTCAGAAAATCCTATATTGCGCCCAAAAATCTGGGTTTTGGAGGCCACATTTATAAAAATCAGCTTTAAAATATATAGCAAAAATCCACAGGACAATACTGCCAATGAGAGCAAATGAAAGCAGAATGAAAGCAAATGAAAGCAAAATGAAAGCAAATGCAAACAAATGAAATGAACTCCAGAGGTGACTAACTGTCATTGCGGCTACCCCAAGAACCTTTCAAATACATGAATAGTAATTTGGAGACGTACGCTGTCGAGGTAGCCAAGTTTAAGACTAGACTATCTCATTGCCATTAACCGTGGATGATGATGTTTAGTAAAGGCCGTTCTCTAAATAGACAATTGTTTACCGACTGTTACAGGAAATGGGACAGACCCAAACTGGACCTTTCCTGTCTATATACGTTCATTTCAGTCTAGTTTCAATGTATACGTCCCTATGTGTTTGGTCCTTTTCTTGTTGTTTTTCCTAATTCTTTAGACCTTTCTTGTCGTCGCCTTGTTTGTCCTTTCTTCCTGATTTTCAAACACCCTGAGGGTCGCACTCCAGGCCAAATAGCAACCTGCACAGGTCAGACATCGGACCTCTGACCAGTGACGGCGCTGAGGCTGTGGCTTTGCACCAGGGCCCAAGGTTGGAGCATCGAGCTGCGTTGGCTGATGCCTATCACACGGAGTGCTACTCGATTCATTGGCTGTGCATGAATTAGGATTCGTCACCTCGATCCATCAAGACCTAGCGCATTTACAGCCTCCTCCTCCAGTCCGGCACTCCAAATGATCTGGGTTCAGTCACGGTTCCCACACGCTCAAGCACTGCCTGCAAAACAACTGCGGAAACGTTGCAGTAAGTTGGGTTCATGCTCCATCTCATGCTCATTCAATCTCCTCCCATTGATCAAAGAGAGTGCAACACCACCCAAAGTGTCCAAAATGTGCTTTGCATCGCCTGCATTTCCACAGGAAATTTCTGCAAGTTTTCTCGGACAGCGGCAGAAAGAGCTTCACGCTGAGGAGCCTCGAAGTCCTGTCCAAATGATCCAGTTGACGATGATTGACTGATGATCTCTGGCCCGTTTGTGTTGGGTCCGTGTGCCCCAATCTGATGAGAAGTTGAGGCAGACATGCCGCCAAATCTAGTTTGGCTGTGATGCTAGTGGTGCTGGTGATGCTACCATGCATCATTGACTTCAGCAGCTAGGTTCATAAGTACACCAGTGGATGCTACTCTTATATTGTCAAGAGTTTAGACAAGGAAATACAAAATGAACACAAGTGTAGCAGAAAAGATTCCCCTGGCCTTCTGCAGGGTCACATCACTAAGAACCTGAAGCCACAACCAGTGGGTGGGTGATTCGCAGCTTTTCCGAGGAAAGTTGTTCCACCTGAAACAGCACTGCTGGTCCAGAAGAGCTGTCTTCCTCATCCCCTGGCCCAAAGGTCTGGAGCCAGTCGACCTAGTTCAAGATTCGCATCCAGTGAAAGAATCTAAAAATAGTCTATCTATATGTGAGTTGATCTTTCTGTTCAACTATTTGTCTTTCTTTGAGCTTCGAACGATTCTTTCAAGCCTTGACTCCGCATCAAGTTCTTTTAGCATCGCAACACTCGCCTCTCACATAGCAACACTCGGACTCAAGTCGCAATGCAACAGAAAAACAGCCTGGCATACAGCCTTCGCCCAAAATTTCACCTCCAAACGAGCGATCTGCTTCAGCACCTGGACAGCATGACTCGATGACACACGATGGTGTCCACCCTAGAAGCGATGGCCTCCACCCTACTAGCGATGGCATCCAACCTGCTAACGATGGCCTCCACCCTAGAAGCGATGCTAAAGGCCACATGCTGTCGAACCTGCTGAGCTTTCGATTTGGCTGCACGTTCGTCGCGTCTCTCTTCAATCGCCTCGCTGGTCGCAGGGTGTCTTGTCACACAAGTATATAAGTTCTAACACAGCAAGTTGTACCAAACCAGGAACGCTTAAACCTCTTCCTTGCCTGCCCATTTTGAAAAGTATCATCAATGCACCCATCCCTGCCCATTTGGAAGGATCTTCAGCCTTCAAAGTGGCGCGAAGGTCATCCCAGAAGTTCGGCGCACACACGTACCTGCGGAGTTCGTGAGTGGGATCTGGTGGCTCTTACTGTGTCCACAAAAATTGGAGACCTCCCAACGACTTAAGAGACTCAGACTCGGCTACTACAAATACCTTCAGAACATCAGTCACACCTTTCAACAAACAACCAATTTTCCCGGCGTCCGTAATGCAAGGTAAGTCAGAACTCAAAACTGTCAGAGTGCACAAAGCCGGACAAGCACAAAACCACAGCAGTGCGGCACGTCTTCGCAGCTATCCTCCTTCTTATTTCTGCCATTGCATCTTTGAGTGCAAAGTCCTCACGCTCTGTGCTGGAGTTTCAACCAAATCCTGAATCAAGCATCATGCTTAGGCTGAGGTGCACACAGAGGAGGAAAAATCTTCAAGCACCTCGGAAAGTAGTAGTTTGCCAACATGTCTCTATCAGACTGTATCATATCCAAGACACCTTCACCGCGTCAAAGAAGTCGTTTTGAAAGGCACTCGCCAAATCCTGTGAAACTTGAACCGGAGGCAGTGCAAAGCTACGGGTCTTTTTTTGACGCTCTGTCTTTCAGGACATTGTTCTAAAATTGAATCTGGAATGTTTGCACTTCAACATTTAACCCCTCCTCCATTGCTACACGCTGGCAACGGGCTCACAGTGCACCCATCTCGACCCAAACTGATGTCATTTTGATGCACCACAAAACTTGCACCAGAGCAGTACAGGAAAATACGATTGAACATGTCTGCCCTTGCTACAAGCAAAACAGTGGCTGCGGCTAGGAATTGGACATTGCACCTATACCTGCCATCTTTTTGTTTCCTACTTGGCCATGGCTGGCAAACTGACAAAAAGCTCCGGCCATCAACACAAGCAAGCAAGCAAGTAAAGGTGCATCTGTGGCAAAATACAGTCAAAATGCTAGTAACTAGTGCAAATGTTCACGATCAAACAACTAACGTGGACACAAATGAAGAAAACCTCGATACGAAAACCCTTCCGTGGTTCGATGATGGAGGATAGCATAAACTGACCATAAACACAAGCGCGTTGAATGGTTGGATGTCATGCGCTGTACGAGTGTACTTGTGCAGCATGAATGTAAAAGTCGCGATACTGAAGGAGAGCTACACCGCCGCAAGAGTTGCTAAACAATGATAAACGTGAATTTCATCGAAATATGTGAGGTGTGGTGAATGCGGAAAGCCAGTTACAGATCTGATCAATCCGAGAGATGCTCAAAATGGGAACCCGAAAATGCAAGCATTGGCCCAAACACACACCCATTGTGAAAGATTGATTGAACCGCCACGAAGTAGACACTGGACTTTTGTTCAAAACATGGACCAAACAAGAAAACCTTTTCACAGTCATTGAAATGTTTTCAAGAAGGTGCACTTCAAATGCACCGTTTCCAGCAATCCCTCCGGTTCTCTCAGATCTGTTCTGCCGCACGTCTGGCAAAAGGTGCAGTACAATTGAAAAAACCCATTCCAGAACAATGAATGTCAAAAGAATTGACAAAAACATCGCCATCACTTCGACCACAATAGTTGCGAAGCTTCTTTTCCTTGAGGTAAAGCGGTCTCGGTGATGTGTCCATGAGTGCCTTCGTTCATGTTTAGCACTCCTCCTCTAGTTGCCTGCGTTTGTACTTGGCACCTAGTTCATCAAACCATTAAAAAAATGAACTGATTCGTGCATCATCTCGCTCATCAAATTCTTATTGCCACTTCGATGGCCATGAAACAATTGGCCTCCATCTTCAAAAGCTCCTCTCGAGCTCGAAGGTCGGCACGATTGTATACCCGGTTGTAATGCTCAAATTGAGCATCCGGGATTCGAATTGCTTCAGCTGCCACAAGCTCCGGTGCGCTTGTCTCATCACTTTCCATGGCCTCGTTATCGGCCTCCATGCTCTCATCGCCCGGTGTGGGCTCAGGTTCAGCCACGGGGGCTGGCGATCCAAGACAATGATTGCTGTTGCTCCACTCAGTCCTGGTTCTCTTGGGCCACATCCATGTGGAGAACCATTGCCCCAGAAAATTGATCTTCACGCTCATCTTGGATCGTCTCCATCTTCTTCCAATTTCAATCATCATGCCATCGGTGGTGCAAGCCTTGCCATTCCCACTTGCACTGATGGATCCTCAACATGTCTTCCAGCATTGATAAGTTTTCGATGCACTCTCTCCACGTGGTCAGCCGTCATGGAGTTGTCTTGATCTTGCTGTTCGACAGCCTCTCTGTTGTCATGTGCATCCATTTCGATCTTGTTCTGCAGGAAGACAACCTTTTTCTCCAATGCCTGCACCTTGTTCGAAGGATCACGGTGGCAAAATCAAAAAACCGAACACCAGAAGGGAATTATGTAGCTCACCTCCACACAGCTCTGTCGCTTGTTAGGAACTCCAAGGCAAGCAGGGTCGCTTGCAAATTTTTTTTGCACGAGTATGGCTGCCAGTCATCGCAGAGAATGCGAAGGTCAGCTACTGAAGAGATTAAAGATTTGTTGTGGTCAAAAACCCAAAACCGCCAACAAAAACCAACAAAACACAAACACCAAAACAAAAGCAACCCAAAAAACAGCACAAGACCGACCAGACCTGGAAATCTTATAGATCTCTCGGAGGTTTTATTCTCCGTGCACTTGAACTTCTCCAGTGTGAAACGGAGCTGGGCGTGGGATGAATTGCTGAGGAAGCAGCTTCAGCTTGGCGTAATTCATAGAATGTCGGCTTACCGATGTCCAAGAGACGGCAAAGTGGACAGTCCATGCGAGAAACGTTTTTATCGCGACATACTTGTAAGCATCGAGGGATTTACCAAGTGCCAAGGCCACGATGTCAGGGTGTTGCTTTCGGAAAGCAAGATTCTGTGCCTGTGAAGTCTCCTGGGATTGCACGCAAGGTAGGGGGACAGCTCATCACTGAGGTTTCTTAAGTGACATGTGTGGCGTGTGGTGGTCGTCGATACGCATCTGCCCGGAAGGGCGCCATTCCCCCCTGACAGGGAGGATGACATCAAGGGGCCCTGCACGGCCACACGATGCAATTGGACAGACGGCAGTGCGAATCATCGCGATGCATTGACCGCTGTCAGAAATGGCTTCAAGAAATGCCCGCATTTGGGGTGAGACATTCAGGTTTCCGGGCGCAATCCTCCAACGCCTGACCGCTTGTCGACAGAGAGGGTAGTGCAACTGGTCGTCAGAAAACGATAACACTGGGGAGGCACTCTGTGGCGAGACCGGTTTTTGCTGGGGTTTTTGGACCCCAAACTGGTGCCCAGAAAAATCACTTTTTTCCATCCCTTGAAGGAGCAACTAGACGACGGGTGGCCCGAGAGCGAGACATGTGATTGTCCAGTACTGTGGAAAAAACATCGATAAAGAAAGAAAGAAAGGATGGACGTGAAGGAGTGACAGTGTGGATGCGCAGGTGTCATACAGATGTGTAGATGTATGGAGGTGGAGAGGTAGATCTGTGGATGCGAGCGTGCAAAGACGTAAATGGACAGAGGCGAGTGAAAAGATATATCTTAGATTCGTAAGAAGTCAGTCGCTCTTCAAACGGCTCAAGACAAGTCAGTCTCATTTCAAGACAAAAACGAAGTAAACCGTCAGCAGGTCGAAGCGCACACAAAATGGATTTGCGCGCGCTTCATCCAGGCCCCAAAAACAAGCGGCGAGTAGATATCCTGCGAGCAGAGGCTCAAAGCAAATCAGTTTGACTTCAAGTATCAGACACAGAGAAGTACGCAGTAAGTGCGCTTCAAGTCATCATCTCCACTCTCGCGGATAGGCCCTTCAAAGCACCAACACTGCGACCTGAGAGCAAACGACATTACGATCAGGACAAGTGACTCGTGCGTTCCAACTGCGCATCGTTTGTCGCGCAGGTGAAGTAGACACATATCAACGTCGCGTCTCTTTTTCCGGCAGTCGCGGATCCCGTCGTCTAAGCGATGATGTCGCAGTTTCGTCCCGAACAGTCTCGACGGACGACCCGCGACACAAATTAGTCTCGGTGTGCTGCGCTGAAGTCTCTCCGCCATTCCGCGCGCAAACCTTCCAGGTGCCACAACGCTTCCAAGACATAGGGTCGATTGCGCCAAGGGCACAACGCTGGTCTTTTTTGAAGTAGCAACTGCACGGCTTCCAGTGCGGAGCGCTCGTAAGCGACAACGAGCCAAGCGCACCAAATCCCCGCGCTCCGGTGGATGCCACCAAAGCAGTGAAAGAGCACGTGCATGGATTTGTCCCCGGCGATCGCCAGCATGGACTGTTTCCACAACTGGTCGCAGACGATTTTCCACTGTCGCAAACAGGAAGCCACCAAGTCCGGAACCTGCTCAAGCCAACGCCTTGCCGGCTTCAATGTCGTGTCCTCCAAATAACACTGGATGTGAAAGACATCTTGTTCTTGAAAGTATTTCGTCCAGTCGGTCGGTGCGCCTGCGATCTTCATCTCCTGCGCGCACATGGTGACCACCACAGTGACCTTCAAAGACGTGGTCTCCACAATGTCTTCCAAGCTACACACGGCTTTCAAACTTAGAAGAAGCAAAAGCGCTGCTCGATCCGTAGGCTTGTAAATGACAGCAGCGTCCAAAGGCCACGCTTCTATGGACCTAAAGCTGTAGTCGCGTTGGTCCGTGACATAATCCTAAGCAGTCCACCGGTTCTTGACCGCATAATAAAGCGTCTCTGATATCCTGCTCTCGCTGCGTTCTCCACTCGAGAGCATCAGTAGCCAGAGCCATGACTACAACAGGCGAACGTGTGATCCCTGTGAAGGACCCCTAGCACCTACTACATCACTGATCAGAGTTACAAGTCTGTACGTGACCAAGTGAAGTTCAAGTCTTGTTGAAAACAACAATGGTAGCGAAGTTCACGGAGTCGCGGCTACCCAGTTCTTGAGCCCCGGCGAGGCGTGGTATGGTGCCCGAGGATATCAAGCAAACAAGCCTTGAAGCAGGATGTTACGAAACTCTCAGGCGCGAATACTTCTACTTATTCCAAACTCCAATAAAAGGTTGGTCCAAACCCGAACCCTACACACGTGTACTTACAGTGCTAAAAACAACAGAGGCTCTACTCGTCTCGCTCTGCACGCTGATTATAAAACGAAAAAATAAACCGCAAGTTAGACAAGCAAATGCAAACACATCGAACATCGCAACACACTGACATAATGGAATCCGCACTCATTGTCCTTTTTCTAGCACGGTGGAGATATCACAGCGGCCTCTTCAGCCACGGACCAGGCCGGGGGTTGGGTGGGCGGGCGCAAAAGACAACGAAACGAGTCACGCGAGAAACGTGAACCCACCCACCCTCCCTTTGGAGGTATTGAACTTAAATGGCCACCATTGGCATTTACTTTGAATCACCTTCGTGACAAAGAAATTGTTCAGCAAAGGTTTCATAAAGAAACAACAACTGAACAAAGCTGCGAAACCGAGTTAGGGAAAAACACATTGAAGATACAACATGTATCAAAATACATGTTACAACACAAAGCGTCTGCATTCAAACGCAAAGGTAATCTCAATCTTCAAGTGATCCCCTAAACTCGGAAGTTTCCTCAGACAAGAAGTTTCCACTCGCCAAGACGCAAAAGGAAGAAAGGAAACACAAAGGCATGTGTGCACGCAAGAGACCAGAGGGAACGGGAAACACCAAAGGAGGACCAACAGAAGCTGCACTCAGCTTCTAGCTTTTATTTGCGAAAGGAATAAGGTTACATCAGCGCGCTGAGCCGCAACTTATTCCAAACTCCAACAAAAGGTTGGTCCAAACCCGAACCCTACACACGTGTACTTACAGCGCTAAAAACAACAGAGGCTCTACTCGTCTCGCTCTGTACGCTGATCAAAAAATTTTTAAAAAAAACGCAAGTTAGACAAGCAAATGCAAACACATCGAACATCGCAACACACTGACATAATGGAATCCGCACTCATTGTCTTTTTCTAGCACGGTGGAGATGTCACAGCGGCCTCTTCAGCCACGGACCCCACCCATGCAGATGTGGCTTTCCACTGAACAAAGGCTTGCCTCAAGGAGTGACGCGACTTCCCCTTTGGGAACACGGGCGGATTCCTTCAAGAGATGGTGTTGGATCTGTCGGGAAGGACAATCTGCGAGGTTCGACGATGAGGGTACACAGCTGTACCACGGAAGGATGTAAAAGTCATCCAACTGCTGGGCCACCATTTGGCAGATAGACGAAATCGCAGGAGAATCGGAGTAGCCACGTATCAGCGCAAATTTACCACCCTCATTGTCAATGTAAACCATGAGTTGGGAGGATGCAATCAGTCGCCCCCAGAGCCTCAGAGCAATGTCGACAACCAGGGTTTCGAATTCCCCGATGACATTTTGTCTTCATTGCTCAAACCACCTTGCAAAACGCACGGCTTCGATTTGAATGCCAAACCAGGAAATCACGGCGCTGTCCGGGGCGGCTAGGAAGGCGCCAAAGCCACCACCACTACTTCTGCAGAAACTCGCATCGGTAAAAAGGAAAAATGTCTCCAGCATCTTACAGGTCAAAACTCTTGGTGAACCGGATACCAGCCTACCCCGCAAGCGACGCAAAGACTCCACCAGTCTCTCAGAGAGTTGGGAAACAAAAGGATTGGCGTACGCATGTTTCGTGATATCTTGAAGAGCCAGCTTGCCAACTCGCCCAAAAATAAAAGCGTCACAAAACGCCAACTTTCCTCTTAAAGAAAGTGCATCCTTTTCCACCAACCTCCCGTTGGACAGCACATCGTCCAAAATCAGAGTTGTGTCGTCGATTCGTTTGGTCGTGTTGCGAACCCTGAGCATCCCGCGTTCTGACTCTGTAAGGTCAAAAAGGACACCCAAAGCTGACACGTTGTCCGCAAAATCATCACTCTTCGGACCCTCACGATCAAATCGCCAACCTAGAATGTCAAGCATCAAACACAGGGTAGATTGACTGTTGTTGCACAGGCTCGGCATGGAAAATGCAACGAAGTCATCGAAGTAGCAAGTCAAAGGGAGGATGAACACTTTCGCTGCGATCCACTGTAGAAATCTGGCGCGTCTGATGAAGGCGTTGACCGCCGATCGAGAACCGAAAGGCAATGCTACCTGCTGAAAAAGCTTGGCTGAACCACTTTCCGGGTCGTACACCGACAGAAACGAATGTCGCAATGACTCATCTGCGATCGCAAGCTGTCGGTATGCAGAAGCAAGGTCTAAGGACCGCCCTTTCAGACAGGACGGCCGCCCCTGGTCCACCAGGCACCTCATCAGATATGTAGCAAGACTGCAAATTACATCCGGGCCATCCACCATAGCCTGCTCGAATGTATTCACGGTGGAGTTGACCTGACTTTGGCTCAAGTCATCAATCGGCCTAATCTTTCCAGCTTGAGAGAGGGGGAACCTCCGAGATACAGCAGCACCAACTGGCAGCTTCTCCCAGGGAATGGGACCTATGAGCCAACCCTTCTCGACCTCAGTCATAGTCTTGGTCCAGAGGCCCGCGTCTAACTCAACATCGCCACTGCTCCTTGTCATATAGCGTAGAGCCTTGCTAGCTTTGGCGGAGTGTCTGCGCAGGTCATCTTTCGATATTGTGGCTGGAACCAGCTTTGAGGGCAAAACCGACGATTTTGGACAATCTCCTACAAGGTTAAAGCCGAACTCAATGTCATCCGCAAGGGTGTGATCATCATATCCTTCTTGCCGAATGAGGTGCCTCATCAAAGCCACGCGCTTCCTCTCCAAAATACGACGCCTGGCTTCAGGCATCCTGTCCTTCATGGCCTTCTCCTCACCTTGCAAGGATTTAGCCAGACGCAACCACTCACCCAGTTTCTTGCACCTCCAGTTGACCAAGTCCTCATGACTCCAGCTAGTCAATTTCTCGCGCGCCAACTTGACTTCAGGAAGCAGCCCAGAAAACTCACGGAAGGGGTGCCCCACGAGCACCGCTTGCTCAAGAAATTGCTCGGGAGACCAACGCACGCCAAAAACAAAGTCGGTGCAGTCACCCCGAACTTCCAAGTGCTCTAATTTAAACTGTGGTTCCTTGCGTGCGCAAATGCCTCTGTTGCAAACCAAATGTGCTCCCTCAATCGCTGCAACTCCAGAATCCACATCACCCAGCGCCTGCAGTGAGGGGGTGCGGTCCACAGTAAGACTAAAAAGACGGCTCTCTACCCCCTTTCTTTCTGTCTTGCGGAGCAGCTTGCTGCCACACGGCACCAAATAAGTGTTGTCACCAGCTTGCACCACGGTGCAATGCTGTAGGCACCCATCGGGGACATCAAAACCGAAATGGTGGGGCAAACTGTTCACTACCAAAATATGAGAGAACTCAGGGACTGTAGGAAGGGAAGTCATCTTAGTCGGCTGTTTGCCGGCTGCAATGGCATGAAAATGCGACAGTTTGAGCCTCTTCGACACCTGGGAGACATTGGGCAACTTGAGGGCGCCTGCAATGGCCTCCAAAATGGTTGCGGCAAGCGCCTTTGCGAGCTGTGGTGTATACTCTGCCTCGCGAGCGGTATCGAACACGCCATCTTGTATGGTCCAAGGTGCGTGTTCATGGTCATTATGGCGCAAAATATTTAAGGCCATGACTGCCCGATTGTTTGACGCCAAACAAGTCCTCTTGAGCCGTGTCCCACCAAACATGCAATTGTGCAGCTCACAGTACCAAACCTTCAGTTTTTCATCCACAATCTTCCAATAACTTGTCAACCACAACAAGCTTGTCCAGGGGTTCTCAACAGTCCACGTGATGCGCAATCGATCCAAAGTCATAATGAGCTCGGACATGAACCGATAAAGCCTGTTGGCTGCACGCAGCCTGGCCAAATTGACACCAGAGACTCCAGGTAGGCCGTCTGGCCAACGAGCACTGCGAAGAGGTGGAGGACCATGGTGTGCTTTGTTCATACGTTTGAAGCGTGCCCTTAGGTACTCCGAAATGCACCCACAAGCATGTTCCAGAAGTAGCCCAGTCGATCACCAACGCCTGATGATCTTTTCGTGTCAAATCCAAACAAATCACTTTGACCCGTTGCTTTGCAACCTTGTGATCCACACCAAAACTGTCGGGAAAGAAATGCTTCATTGCAAAGGTCAGGTTACCTGACCCACAAAATAATTCAATGCAAAAATAACAACTCGAGCCAAATTCAGGTTTCACGTGTTCAGATGAATCTGCACGTTCATTCTCTTGCAGGATGTGGTGAAACTGTATGTTCTCGGAGTCACTGATGCTCCGTTTGCGGATGGTTTTTGTAGCAACCGGGCACTGCACAAACATGTTTGCGGGGGCAGGCGGAGCCCTGTTTGCAAGTACCCAAGTTGTAGCCAAAACAAATCTGATCACCTTGCGGGGTGCGTGAATGCATGCCCTTAAGGCCTGCTGGCACCGGCTCTCTCTTTTTGTTTTCCCCTTTACCTTTCCCCTCCATATTCTTTGTGAATTTGTTCGGCTGAGGCTTCTCCGAGCCTACCTCCACCTGACGCTTCTTGTCTGTCTTGTTTGAATCGCTCGCATTGCTCGAGTTGGACTGAATAGGAACTGGCGACATGAAATAGGTCACCGACACATCATTCTCCAGCCTCTCAATCAATGGGTCCAAGGGTTTGCCCGCCATGGGCATGACCTTCAACGACCCAGTGAAGGTTTCACTCAAACGCACAAAGGCCTGTCGGTCTGCTCGTAGAAGCTGTGCTTGCGAGACTTTCGAAAAACCTGGGGCGGCTGGCTGAGAAAAGACTGCAAACATCCGATCAACCCATTTCTTCATGACCTCATAGGTGGCCAAATTGGCATCCACCATCTGAGCACACATATCATACAGGCTATGCGCTGGTTCCAAAGGACCCGAGATATCCAGGCCCCTCAAATGCTGACGCTGCAACGCCAGCCTGGCATCACGTTCAGGCGCAGGCATTCTTTTGGGAGTCATGTCATCGCCCTTGGCCGCGGACTTGAACCTGTGGATCATAAGGGTTTGTGATTCAAAAAAGATCCTCTTGAAGGCTGAAAGGTCTGCTATCGTGGCCACCACTCCAGGCCTCAAATTGCCCATGAAGCGTGTCACTTGATCATCGCTTGCCACCGTACCCGGACTTGTAATTGCAAAACTCAGCTTTGCGAAGGTGGCCACACCGTTGTTTTTCAACGATGTGACCCAAGGCTCCGATAACCCACACTCATCTGCCTGCTGACAAAATGTCGCTTCGGAATCCAGCAGTGAAGAAAGAGCCATGATCACCCGGGACGCTGAGCTAGGAGTGAAGTTCTCGACAATTATATATTAAACATCGATCAAAAAGGAAAATGTAAAGTCTGCAAAGTCAAGTCTCTCTTGACAAACGCGTGAGACTAAACTGCCAATCCAAAACACGCAGACACGGAGATGTTCAACGACCTATGTCGTTTAGCGCTGTCCCTTTGAAGCTCCTATGAGCCAACAAAATTTCAGTTGCTTTCAACTAAAGCCCAAGTACAGTTGCTCTCAACTGTTTGATTGCCTTTGCAATCCATCTGCTTCCATGACCCAGAGACCCGGTCTTGGGGTGTTGTGGCGGAAGGCAGATGGTGGAGAAAAAGGGGCCGTCGAAACGTCGACGTTTGGACGGCCGAAGGACCTGAAAACATGTCTCAAAAGCTCATTACACTTAGATACTACATGTTGCGCACAAACTTCATCAAAAGCGTGAACAAGAACACAACACCTCAACCGCAAGAGAAGCAGCACTATTTCACACAAGTGCCAAGTTCAAGCTCGTTTGAGACGTTTGGCCTTTGCCGCATCAAGTGCTTCTGCCATTACAGATGTTGAGGTTGTCACCTGACCCTTATAACACCGGCTGCATCTCGCATTCAAGGTTGAACAGCCATGCGTGAGAAGTTCATAAGTCGTATCTGAAACCAATCTGCTGCAAAAAGTCTTGCTTGGATCTTCTGAGCATTTGTGCACAACATGTGATTTGACATTTCTGAGGACAGGTCCCGGTATGAAGTCCTCACTGGGAATAGCCTCAGGCATTTGAACATCATCGGCCTCTGAACTGCTCGAACTCGTCGAAGCTAAAGATTCGCTATCCTCAGCACTCTCTGCATTATACGACCTCTTGTCTGCAGCCTCAGACAATTCGGCATCGCCCAAAGGAGACGTCGGTACCGCCTCAATGTCGGGTTCCAGCTCGAAAGCTCGCTTAGTTGAAACCTGATGCCCGTGTGCAGAAGTGTCAACGCCAATGGTTTCGTTTCTCTGTATCTTCATCAAATCAATCATTCTCGAAGTGCGGGACTCATCAGGCCGGAAATGGTCACCGCGTATGTTGACCAGCATGCTGCAGTACAATTGCAAGGGGCGAGTCAACATGTCCCGTGAATAAACTGACATCGATTTAGTGCCCTGCAGCTCATGGTGTCCAAGCAGTGTACGTGCAGGTTCATCAATACCATAAGATGCGGACCAACTCAAAGTTGTATGCTTGAAACTGTGTGATGTCAATCTATCCGGTTCCGCTGTCTTCAAAAGTTGTTTGATGAAAGCAGAAATCTCATCTGAAGTGCAACTCCTCTTACAAAGGAGACCATCTGTTCCTGGGGCTCTGCATAGTGGTCCAAAAGGAATCGCGTTTCGATCAACCTTCAACTCCTCGAATGTACCCAACCAAATGGGAGTCCAGTCAACTTCTGTGATGCCCTGAATTGGACATACAACTGGAATAAACCGCATCTTGTTCTTCAGAGAAGTTGCCGTCTTGTGGAAGGCAGTCTCCGTTTCAATGATGCCAAAAAATTGACCCTCAAACTCATTCCGATCCAGCCAAAGGCGATGCATATGTTGCAAGTCCGACCACCTAGATCTGGAGAAAATGGCAAACAACACCGACCCAAGCATGTACAAATCAATAGTATCCAGCTTGGAAAGCATCATCCTCTCCAACAGAGCGACCTCATGCGCCTTCAAAGGTCTTGCAGGGCAGTATGCATCCTTGGTCAGCAAAAGCCTCTGAGCTCGACCTTTCAATTGCGGGTCTGACAGCAGTGCATCATGTATTGGAATCTGCATCACATACCTAGCAAATCTGAGCGCTTCCAAGAAAGAGATACCCAGGCTCGCTGAAGGTGTTCTCACATCTGATGAACTCAAATATGCCAAGCACTGTGCACGATTCCAGGGATCCCAAACAGCGCATGTGTCTTGAAGCCACTTGAAGTACTGCAGCAAGGCCAAACCTCTTTTAATGGCTGTACGTGGAGACTTCACCCCCAAAGCATCTCTCAGGACCAGACCATGCTCAGCAGGATCCGTGAAATGAAGCTCGTTCTCCAAAGCCGCTCCTAACTCACCAGGAAAACCAAGCACCTCAAAGACTTGTAACCATTTGTCTATGGCTCTAGTCCACAAAACCTCCAGCTGTGCAAAAATGTCTTTGTCCGGCCTGACCTTAATAGCAAATGAATAGAACGGCATGTCAAGGTCCCGACTCACAACCTTTTGCGCAGCATCTGCGACTCCACCAGTGGTTGCCAAAGATTGCACATGTTCAGAAACACTCAAATATTCTGCAGGCAGTGCCGGTAGAGCCAACGCATCACTCGGTCCAGAGAAAATATCACCCATGACACCTGCCTCCCAAGGATACTTCAGTTCGGTATCAGATAAATTCTGTAGTCTTGCCTCAAAAAGCGCCTTGTTGACATCTGCTCTGGAAAAAGATGTATCCGACTGTGCTGCATGATGTGACTGCCCATCATGATATTCTGAAGTGTCAGGACCAGACTGCATGGATTCCAAATCAAACGCATTTCCAAGGTCCGGGCCGTTGGATAAATCATCCTGTGGCAAATGAGTGACACCCTGATCAGGCACTGAACACAAGGACTCATCCACATCTGGTTTGTCTAGCATACTTGCAAAACTTGCAAACTCGTCAACGTTCATGGTTCTCAAGGTGCAGTCTGAAGCGTTCTAACTCCTCCTCAATGTCCTGGTAATCAACCCTGATGCAATACGTTGCGCAGCAAAAAGCTCCCAAATCACCAGCTGAAAGGAAGGAGAAAACGTAAACACAGGAAAACTCGCAGTAATCCCACAAGCACCACGTGACACTAAAAATCTCACAGTCTGCCAAATTGTCGTATCTGTCCAGATCAAGCTGAAGTGCCATACAGGATCAATCACCCATGGCTGCACAAAAGACAACGAAACGAGTCACGCGAGAAACGTGAACCCACCCACCCTCCCTTTGGAGGTATTGAACTTAAATGGCCACCATTGGCGTTTACTTTGAATCACCTTCGTGACAAAGAAATTGTTCAGCAAAGGTTTCATAAAGAAACAACAACTGAACAAAGCTGCGAAACCGAGTTAGGGAAAAACACATTGAAGATACAACATGTATCAAAATACATGTTACAACACAAAGCGTCTGCATTCAAACGCAAAGGTAATCTCAATCTTCAAGTGATCCCCTAAACTCGGAAGTTTCCTCAGACAAGAAGTTTCCACTCGCCAAGACGCAAAAGGAAGAAAGGAAACACAAAGGCACGTGTGCACGCAAGAGACCAGAGGGAACGGGAAACACCAAAGGAGGACCAACAGAAGCTGCACTCAGCTTCTAGATTTTATTTGCGAAAGGAATAAGGTTACATCAGCGCGCTGAGCCGCAACCTATCCAAAACAAAGTGGCAAGATCTCGTTGACACAGTTTGTTCAGCCACACGAAACGTGAACTCAGCATCGGACCACTCCCTGCGATGCAATATATAGAATCACCTCAAGAGACGAAATCGAAGTCAGTGGGAAACATGAGTATGTATTTACATCTTTGTCGTCATGACACTAAGTCCTTATGAGAAGACGTCACAAGCAACCATGTGCTCTGTTTTTGCACTCATACTACGCCGACAGTCCCTATCGCGGCGAAAAGCGCACGGTCGCTCGGGCATTCAGACAGAAATGGCCAGTGATTTGAGAATGCGTTTGGCGCTTGGTAGCTTGTGTTTCTGTTTTGGTTTTGGGGTGTTGGGTTTTGTTTGTTGTTTGGCTTTTGCCTGGTCTTTTCTGCTGGGTGACTTGCGCATAACCTGCACACACAGCGCCTCGACACGCGCAAACAAACAAAATTGAGAATGCGTTTGGTGTCAGATCAATGGTCAGCTGCTTTTTTCAGCAGTCTGATTGCGGCCTTGCGCGCTTGGTGCATGTTTATTTGCCACAATGCTTGTGGTGGACATCCACCGTGCGTCGACCTTGCGCCTTGAGTCTTCGTATTTTTTGGTCTGTCTTAGTTTTGGACGAGAGGGAAGATGCAGCGAAGGTTTGGCGGCGTGGGGCCGTGGAGCCTTGTCATGTTTGCGTACGTTTTTCGGCCAGTGTTCAGAAGCCATCTCTGGTCGTTCAGTATGGCAAGGAATCCTTGTTTCATTTTATTTGACGTTGTCTGCAGCCTGGATCCCGGTTCCACTTAAGCATCAACGTTTGAACTTTTCCTTGCAACGCGCTGCACAGGTTTTTTGCGGCTACAATCAAGCTCTGGGTTGGGTCGGACAATCCATTGTGCGCGGCGCCGTCTCGGTGCCATTTCAGTGCTCGTTACCACAATGCGCGGCGCCGCTTCAGCACCGCTCCGGCCCTCTACTAGGCGGTGCGGACGAACAAAGTTTCAATTGGGTGGGAGTGAACGTCCAAGAAAACACAAAGACCAACAGGAACCCACGAAACGCAACCTCAACGTTGCAGTCCCAGCGCTTCTTCAAACGGAGCGCTCAACACTTGCGCTAAGGCATTCCAAGCATTCCTCGCGCTCAACCAATCATAACAGCGCATCTCTGCAATGACGGAAAAGCGGCAATCTCCATTTCGACGATGGAGGGACTCTCAGGAGGGTGAAGTATTTGGAGCACTGGGAGGGTGTTTCCAACCCTTCCGACGGTCTCATGAAAAGCTTCAAGCTCATTGAGATGTGGCTGAACCTGTCTGGGCGATGGTTGCGCCCTCCTTGTCGCTCATGACAGTGGATCACAGTGGATCACGCTGTATTTCTATCCTCTCTCGATGTGAATTTGCGCACTATCCAGATGAAGATGAACTGAGTACAAGGGATGAATTCATTTTGCCCCCTGACAGATATCAGTTTCACCAATATCTGGCAGCCTCTCGAGAAGTGAAACCTTGCCTTGTTTGGTTGCCTTTGTTTTTGTTTTTTGGGTTTGGGGTGTTGGGTTTTGTTTGGTGTTTGGGTTTGCCTGTTCTTGTTGGCAGGTTCACTTCCTTCTTTTACTGCCTCAGGTGACTTGCGCATAACCTGCACGCATAGCGCCTCGACACGCGCAAAAAAAATTGAGATTTTTTTTTCCACGAGTACGGACGCCGTGTGGGCATGGTGCCCAGGTCATCATTGAAGGAAGGGAAATACAGTCAGATGGTGGAGAAAAGGACAAAGGCAACCCAACAACAAAAAACAACAGCCAACCACAGCCCAAAGGCCGAGTCTCCACCATCCTGTAGTCTTTCCTCTGTGCTAGGGTGAAACAAGTGAAACGATGACTACTGACTATCGATGGGCCTGAATTCACGAAAGAAGAGCATGGCAGCGAGGGTTTGTGCTCTAGCAAAGTCTCAAAGAAGTCGTCAAATGGACTTCACATCACTATTACCAGTGACCAGCGGCCACTGCACAGAGTGGCAAAAACATGGTCACGATGCAAGTCCCCTGCATTGGTATGCTCTAACGCAGGTTATATCCTTATCAAAATGGATCAGTGGTTGCTATGTAGATCATGCCGTGGAAAATTCCTTTCTTGTAGCACAACCCATGCAACTGGTTGCACATACAAGTCAAGAGGCATAGTAGTTGGTAGTGTTCAGACAGTGGCGGCCATAGCAAACGACGAAAGCCTGCAGGTAAGGGCGCGAAAGGCTCACCCCCCCGAAGGGAGGTCATCTCGGCACCCTTCGGCACACAGAGGTGCCAAAACGGGGTGTTCCCTAACTTCGAGAAATGCTGCGTCATTGCAAAAATTGTTCAGTTGCGCGCAAGGCCCGTGTGAAACAGGTGAGACATTGGACCTATCCTAGCATGGTATCTGTACCTCTTTGTACAAAAATTGGAAATGTCGGACATCAACAGAGGGAACTAAGGTTCCCCCTGGGCATCCTCCATTGCCACTCTCTACCAATGCAAAAAAAATTGAGATGTGGCTGAACCTCTGCAATACTGCAGGACTTGCATCCGGTTGTTTGGATGAAGGTGGGGCAGCATTGTTGAGGAGCTTGTCTGGAGACGGGGATGATGACGAACTTCCGACCAGTTCGAGAAGGGAAGTATGCTCATCGTGCGTGTTTCTTGCATTTTTCGTCCATCTGTGATCGGAAAGGTCTGCACCAAAGACCAGCAATGCTTTCGCAGCGGGAATGGTGCATAAGCACACCGCCAGGAAGCTACGGCAAGTGAAAAGTGCAAACACTAAGTAGGGTCGCCAACTTCTTTTCGCCATTCGCAATACAGTGAGCCAATAGGAATGAGAGCCTTACTGGGGAGGCCCACTTTGGCGACCCTAGAATCCACTGCATTTTTGGCGCTTGGTTTTGGGGCCGTCAATGGACAAGATTTTCGCACGCGTCGTGATCCGCTTGGCCGCTTCACATTGTTCCTGATCAGTCAGCTGGTCTCTGGAAGCCGGGTGTCCCTGACGCAGGGCCGCGCAGGACCAGCTGGAGTGGAAACTGCAGGGAGAGAGCACGGGTCCTGCAATCACACTGTGGGAGAAAAGAATTTATTTATAGAATAAAACAAGTTTGCAGGACCACTATGCCGACTTGCTTTTGGATACTAGTGGTCTCCAGTCCGACCTGCTTGTGGTGGAAGCGAGGGCCCGTGGGCACCAATCTCCGGCCCAATGGCCACACACGCGCATATTCCCCGGGCAAACAAAACTTGTTCTCCAACCGATGTCCTCTACCCAAACCTACAACCAAGAACCAAACAACATCCAACAGACTTACGCAAAGCCAACCTTTTCACGTTCACCTAAACCAACAAACGACAAGCAACCGACCAACCAAAAAGAATGGTTGAGCGCGAAGTACACTTGGAATGCCTTGGCGCAAGTGTGGAGCGCCCCGTTTGAAGAAGCGCCGGGACTACGTACAATGTTAAGGTTGCGTTTCGTGGCTTTCTGTTGGTCTTTGTGTTTTCTTGGAAGTTCCTCACTCCGATCCAATTAAAACTTTGTAAAACCCAAACGGGGCGTCGGTACCGCGCATTGTAATAGAGGGCCCGAGCGGTACCGAAGCGGTACCGAGGCGGTACCGCGCATTGTAATAGAGGGCCCGAGCGGTACCGAGGCGGTACCGCGCATTGTAATGGAGGGCCCGAGCGGTACCGAGGCGGTACCGCGCATTGTAATAGAGGGCCCGAGCGGTACCGAGGCGGTACCGCGCATTATAACAGAGGGCCCGAGCGGTACCGAGGCGGTACCGCGCATTGTAAGGAAGGGCCCGAGCCGTAATGAAGTGGTACCGAGGTGGTATCGCGCACTGTAATAGACGGAAGCCTGGCGTAGCTTGCAACAAACATCAAGGACGCGAGCTCAAAACCTCAACAATAATATCTTTTCAAAACCCCCTCCTTCACAACATGCATCAAACAACGACGTCAAATAAAACGAAACAAGGTTTCCTTGCCATAGTGAACGACCAGAGATGGCTCCTGTAAACATACGCAAACATGACAGGCTCCACGGCGCCAAACCTTCGCTTAACATCTCCCCACCCTTCTTTCCTCTCATCCAAAATTAAGACAGACCACAAAATACAAAGAATGGGTTCACAACGGTTGGTCTCAGGGCGCTAGGTCGACTCACGGCGGATGTCCACCACAAGCTTGTAGCAAACGAACACGCACCAAGCGCGCAAGGCTTCTTTTTTTCCACGAGTAC